AATGGCCCCGGCTCGCAAAGCCCGAGGTGAGCAGGCCACACCACCGCAAGCACTACAACTACTGCTCTGGCCGCGCCCGGCTCTGTCCGGCGCCGGAACCGACCGGAACCGACCGGAACGACGCGGACGGGACTCTCGCTCACCGCCAGAGTCTGCTTTGGCTTGCGGCCGCCCGTTATTACATTATTTCCGACGTCCCTTGTCGCGAAACTTTACGCTGTGCTCACCAACGGGCGCCGCCGCCGCGGGTACCTGCCGCCCTCGCCGCTGCCCCTAGGGGGTGAAATAAAATAGAAGAGGTTTTTTTCTGGCTTTGCGCATACGAATACGAGCAGAGAAGGGGGGCGGTGAGTAGGAGAGAGAGAGAGACAAAGAGAAAGAGAGAAAGAATGAGAGAGAGAATGCGAGTGAGACGAGACGGCCTTGTGTGTGTAAGTTACATTGTACGGGCCTACATCTATCTTTGCTGTACCTCCTCCCTACGCCCTTTCTCTCTCGCTCTCTGTCTCTCGCTCACGCTCACGCCCTCGCCCCGCCCCCACAGAACCTGTAGAGTGAATTACAGGCCTGGCCCTGCGCGGAGGCCGGGCCGCCGGCGGAGGCCCTGAGGAGGAGGAGGCCGTGCCTGGCGGGGGGTAAGATAGGGGAGGGGGGAGGAGATGGCCCTAGTCCCCGGCAGAGCCGCGGCAGGCCTCGCCGGAAGCAGATAATGAGCCTCGGCTCACTGCGCCTGACATGCACTCCGGCCTCCCTTTCCTGCCTCGTCAACCGTTCCGCCCCGGTGCCCACAGGAGGAGGAGACTTCGTTTCATCCCCCGAAGTATAAAGAGGTGCAGAGGGTGGGTCCGTGGGCGCAAAGGGGTACTCTGGCTTTGGTTACCGGATATATGCTTTTCTTTTTGTGGCCGCTTCTCCTCCTGGCTCCTATCCGCCCTCCTTGCGGTTCGCAAGACGAGGAGGGCGACCTTCTTGCGTGTCCCGTGCTGGTGCGGTACGCGCGCTCTCCACGGGGCCGCGGGCTTGCGCTTGCGGCCTGTGGCTCTGGCGGTGCGGGGTAAGGTGGGGTGCGGCGGGGTGCGGCGGACGGGTGCGGCGACCCACCAGCGCCGTTTAATCTAAACTTGGCGCCCAGCAAGGCTGCTGGAGAGCGGAACGGAGGAGGAAATATTGCATTATCAGGGGTGAGACGAATGTCGTGTCCGTCCGTGTCCGGGAGGTTGTGAGAGGGCATTATTGATGCTCCTGCCGCTATATCCCTGTCCCCCTCTCTGCCGCCCGCTCTCTGCCTCTCTCTCTCTCTCTCTCTCATTCACTCACACGCACGCGCGCGCGCGCACTGTCACACACACAAACTCTAGTGTCCCTCTCTGTCACTTCAATTATCGAAAATCGAGTTTAGGGAATCTTTTGGGCCGTGGGGACACATACGGCAGGCCCAGCAGAAGAGCACCGTGCGTCCCAACTCACGCTCTGGTCTTCTGTTAGTACCGCCCCGCCCCACCCCACCACGCCCGCCCGGCCCCTCCATGCCTCGCCGCACCGTACAAACAGACGACACAGGGCATGCTCGATGACGTGACCCGCCATGCGACTCGTGGCTCCTGGAGAAAGATTTGGCGTGAAAATACTACGTCGTAATATCTTCGCAGCAGTGTTTGTGTTTATCGGCTCCATTACCCCCAGGATCCTCATCCTATGGCGGAAATCACTGGAAAACTCAGACCGACTCAGCGTATTTTTCACCACAACTATTTCAACTCCCGTTTCGTCCTCATTTCGCACTTATTTCGCATTTTTTCGCGTGCAGGTGTATACGATGTATTTCGAAAGTGCTTTCCCCCCACCCTTTCATGCCTTGCAATTTGCAGCTTTCATTGGACGGCACTTTAAATAGCAGGTGGTGTCGAGTACGCTGAGGGCGAAGCAGGGCGTGTCTGTCGCGGAAGTGTATGGAGTGGCCCCCCCTCCACTCCGTTTCCGCACATCCGTCCGCTTCTCTGTGTGGCCGGTTTCGGCAACATTCTGTTTGCATACATTTGGTCACCGACGCCACCAATATTGCTTTTTGCATCCATTACGTATGGACTAGTGGAAAGCAAAAGGACCTCCTGTCTTTTTATTTTTCTTATTTCTCTGTACATTTTATCGTTGGTTCTCCCGGAAGTGGAATAATAGGACGGATGAGAGAAAGGGATTTCTACTTGAAAGAACACAGGCAAAAATACAAAAAAAATCTAAATCAAGAATCTATCTTGAAAGCAGATGATACAAATTTAAGAATATGTTTGTTTTCAAGTTTCCTCCCGGATTTAGCTGGCATTTGTTTCTGGTTGCTTGTTATTTGTAATTTCAGCGTACAAGCGCGGCGTTGAAAAGCGCGGGCACAGGGGCACAGGGGCCGGCGTCGGATAGTATTGTTGTGCAGGGAGGGGGACGGGGAGCCTAGTATTGTTAAGCAGGGTAAGGGTAGGGGCCTGAAGCGACACTCACTCAGGCACCCGGACACGGTTCCCCCAGCGCTAAAGAAATTGTTTTCTGGTCTCCGCTTGATTCTCTTGCCGTTTCGAGAGTAAAAGCTAGCTGACACCTTAAAGTTACTTATATATTCTTTACGTTTAGTCAAAAGGTTCTTAAGGTATCATCTGCTAAAAATGTTATTTACCATAACGAAAGCAATCAAAATTTACATCAAATAATTCAATATGAAACGCACACATAAATTTTCTACACGAAATTTTCTTGACACCTAATTTTTACAGGGCCCAGTTATGTTATGTTCTCGGGATCGGGTAAGCCCACTGCATACTCTGCATTGCCAGTACTGCGCCACAAATTAAAAAGAGAGAACTCCAGCATTTGAGTGTAATTGCCACGTTTTCGCACTCCAGCGGGGCCGCTGGGATTAGTCAGATAGCCGCGAGATTTTCGGGCCTCGTTTCGACCCCCGTTTCGACCCCCACCACGCTTTCTCTTGGATTCCTTTTTTTTTTACGTTTTCGCGGCACACACGGGGCTCACAGGCGCTCACATACATTGGAGGGTACGGGAAAAAAAAATTGGAACCGGCTTGGTGGTGTATGTGTGAGCGGGGCAATACCCACAATGCCCATCGATAGGCAGCCGCGCCCCCTGCTGTTTGCGTAAATCTCGAGCGGCTTTGCGAGTAATTTTTCATGGTGTGTGTGTGCGCGCGCGCGCGTGTGTGTTTTAAGTGTGTGTGGTATGTACGGTACACTGAGGTGTGGGAGCGCGCGCGTGTGGTTGGGCTTCACGAGGTCACGCGAAGCTGGTGCTGGTAGTGGTTTGAGAGAGTGTGTGTGTGTGTGTGTGTGTGTGTGTGTGTGTGTGTGTGAGAGAGAGAGAGAGAGAGAGAGAGAGAGAGAGAGAGAGAGAAAGACGCGTGGAACTACTGCCACTGGGAAAAGTTGGGGAAGCGCCAGAGAAGGGAGTGGATGATTAACAGTTTCTCCCGGTCCGTGATTTGACAGGAAATGATTGGCAACCATCGCGATTGACTCAGGGCAGGGAACACCTAAAAGTATGGTTGAGACAACAATGACTACGTAATAAAAGCCAAGTTGGTTCTCGCAACCACGTGAATGTTGCATCAACAAACCGAACTAACTTAGACTGTATGTTGCTTCCTGAACTAAACCATGCGATGGTAGCCATAGCTTATCAATTTTACGGGTGATCCCGATTTGTCCTTGAAAAGAGTGGAGTGGATGGTTTCTCCTCGCTGCTGGGAGGCTCTCAAAAGCCATCGCCTATTCGCTGCCTACCCTCTCTCTGGGCGTGTCGAGTAAACCGTGTGAGACAATATCGGAAACAAGTTCGGGGCGGGGTGTGAGGGGTAAGGCCCCTTCTACGAAACTCACAAACCAGTAAAGTGTTGAGTATATACGCGACATTTTTGCCGTATTAAAGTTGCTGCTCTGACACACATAGGCGCGCGCGGGCGCACACTCACTCACTCACCTAAGCGCACAAGTAACAGGCTGAGCAAACCAAACGGGGCATTACTGTTGCGTTTGACGCGCCGTCGAGCACAGGCAGCCAGGCCGGTGCTGAGAGGGGGGGGGGGGGTAGACATCCCCCGCGGTCCACGAGGCTGCGTGCAGAAAAGAATGGGGGAGGTAAATAGTGGGGGGCTGGGCATTAGACCTCGAGGGGTGGCGAAGCGTAGTTGGGGGTGGGGGGAGGGGGGGGTGTTGCGTCTGTGCCTCGCATTTCTCCAGGGATGTTTGGTATAACCTGTTGTGTGTTGTTTCATCGGGGAGCGGGGAGCGCAGCGCGCCAGCCCGGGGTTTTTACCCCAACCTGCCGAGGCGAAACGGAGAGAGGATCCCTTTACTCGTTCGGCAACGCAATTTCCCGTATTTCGCGGTACTTGTTTCCGATTCATACCTAACTAAGTTTAAATTGTTGCCGTGATTTGACGACTCGTTCTCTCCCATTCATATCCTGTTCCGCAACATTTGACTCCCCCTCGAACCCTTCCAACGCGAATACCGATATTTTTGAAGCAGAAATGTTCAGCCACCTCGTACACAGTATAATCTAATGAACTCTTTTGTTCATAGCGACTGAAATCTGTAATCATGCTCAGCTTCCGGCATTGTACGCCGGTATGAACAAATTTTTTCATACTGAGGTATTTACAAAAAATCGTCAAGCTGTGCATGTTTACAGATTTCACCAAGCTGTGAACAAAAAAAATGTTCATAAGATTTTAGTGTGTCGTACCACCCCTACCGAACCCCCGACCTTTATTTTTCCCACCCCCCAGATTACAGTGTGTGTTTATCTTTCTAACGCGTCCTTTCCTTTTGACTGTTTTGCAGGTGGGCGCGACGGTTTTTCGGAGGCGGCCGTGCGGCCCGCTGCTGAGGAAAAGTCGTCGGATGTTATCGGAGCGGCGCGGCGGTGTTTCACCGTGTCCCGGGGCTGGAGCTTAGAGCAGAGCACAACGCCCGATAAGGTGATAAGAGGTGTGTGTGTGTGTGTGTGTGTGCGTGCGTGTGCGCGCGTGTGCGCGCGCGCGTGTGTGTGTGGGCGTGGGCCGAGGGGTTTGTTCCTGTCGCGCCGTTGTTTCAGTTTGAGGGTGGCCCGCGTCTAGGGTGACGTAATAAAAATACGAGCCTTGCGCGCACCCGGTGCAGTTTGCGGGTCAGCAACGAAATGCTCTGGTGCTGGTGCACACACAAACACACACTGTGTTCCTAGCAGCTGGACAGAGACACCGGAACGAGGAGAGGTCGAAAGAATGAGATCCGAGGGATCTCCACGTGTGTGTGTGTGTGTGTGTGTGTGTCTGTGTGTGTAATGAAATTACAGGACCATGGAGCGCGCTAGCACACGCCGTCCTGGTGTCGGCGAGAACCGTAAATGGAAACAACTCAGAGAAGGAAAGAGGAGACCCCTGTTGCCTCTGAGCCCCTGCAAAACACTCGGGACGCGGTACTCAAAACCGTCGAAAAGCAAGTAATTCTATTATTGCCGGCAACTTTCGCCAAAGTTTCAACAACTCGTTTCGGTGCCGTTTCTTTTCTCATATCGTCTGGTGCTGAGTAATTGCTTTCCTTTTCTTTGTGTTTCATTCACAAACGGAAAGTTGTTGTTTTTTCTTGGTTTTAGAGAGAGGGAATAAGAAACAAGGTGGAAATGTAGTGGACAAGTGTAACGTCCCCGTGATTTGATTTCGGTGCGGGAGGGATTGCGAGCGAGAAGCCGGAGGTGTAAACTAGAGAGAGAGAGAGCAGAGAGAGAGAGAGAGAGAGTGAGAGTGAGAGAGAGGCGTATATATACGAAAAGAAAAAAAAGGGTGTGTGCGGTGCGCGGGGAGTGGAGAGGGACAGACGTCCACTTTCATCAACGCGTGATTAAGGTTGCGTGCATGTGTCATTGCGTGCCCGTACGAGCGTGCGGGTCACGCTCCGCCATGTACACGGCGAGGCCCTCTGAGGCGCCGTATATCGGGGAGCCGAGCCAGCGAGGCAAAGGGTGGAGTGGAGTGGAGTGAGTGCACGGTTAGTTAATCGCTCTCTCTGCGCAGAACGAAACTAGGGAACCCCACCACTCTCCGTCTCTCTCTCTCTCTCTCTCTCTCTCT